TTTCTGCCCCATTTCTGCCCCATTTCACGCTGGTGTGGCCCCTTTTCCCGCCCAGGAAGGGGAGAGGCCGCACAGCCACAGCACCGAGGGCTGCACGTGGGAGAAGTGACCGCGGGTGCCCCCAGGATCGACCCATCTCCTGCGGATCCGACCCATTCCCGGCGTATTTCCTGCAGATCCGGCCCGTTGTCCCAGTTTTCCTGCCGATTTGACCCATTTCCAGCACTTTTTTTCCTGCAGAACAACCTGGGTTTAGCTTTTTCCCCCCACAGGTCTGACCCGTTTCCAGCGGAACAACCCATTTGCAGCGGTTTTCCCGCCTATCTGACCCATTTTCCAGAATTTTCCCCAATAAACGAATAAATTCCAGCGTTTTCCCCTGGAATCAATCCATATCGAGCTGCTTCCCTCTAGGATCAAGCGATTTCCTGGATTTTCCTGGGAAACGACCCATTTTCAGCCTTCTTCCTGTTGATCCCACCCATTTCCAGCATTTTCTCCAAGAAACGACCGATTTCTAGCATCTCCCCCCAAGACCGAGGCACTTTTCCATGGAAGATCCTGTTTCCAGCCTTTCTCCTGTGGTTTTGACCCATTTCAAGCTTTTTTCCCCAGAAACGACCAATTTCCATCATTTTTCCCACGGAACGCCCCATTTCCAGCCTTTTTCCTGCGGATTTGACCCATTCCCAGCATTTTCTCCGAGGACTGACTAATTTTCAGCATTTTTACCCCAACGCTTGACCCGTTTCCAGCGTTTTTCCACGCAACGACCAGTTTCCAGCATTTCCAGCTGTCTCCCTGCCCCAGTGCCCTCCCAGTACCCGCCCAGTGCTGGGACTGGGCCGTCTCCCTGCCCCAGTGCCCTCTCAGTGTTTGCCCAGTTCTCCCAGTACCTCCCAGCCTAGTGCTTCCAGCGTTCCCAGTACCCTCCTCAGCCCCAGAGCTCCCAGTGCCTTCCCAGTAACCCCCAGTCCATGCTTCCAGCACCCCCCACAGCCTCATTCCCCAGTGCTCCCAGTAACCCCCAGTCCATGCTTCCAGCACCCCCCACAGCCTCATTCCCCAGTGCTCCCAGTAACCCCCAGTCCCCACCACCACAGCCTGCAGACCTGACGAGCCCCACATAAGCAGGGACCTGCCCCCTCCCAGCCCATTTCCCTGCTAGAAACGGGGATTTTGGTTAAATTAACAAATTTTGAGCGAGGGCAGAAGCGCCTTTTTGTGCCAGCTCCACCACGGGTCATTTTTTTTCCTGTTGAAAACCAGCCAAAACCAGCCCAAACCAGTTTCGCTTTCTGCCACGGGTCCTTTTTTTGTGGCTTTTTACAGTAAATTTCTCAAGTCCGGCTCGAATTTCCTAATTTTTGGGGGGGGGGGAGGGGGAGCCCCCACGGTTAATTTTCAACCCGGAGAGGGAACGTCGTTACCCGTAATGGGTCGTTGCGTTTCCGCTGATCGATAACGTATAAACTCCCCCAAAATATCGATTTTTAGCTTAAACCCTTTTTTAAAAAAAAAAGCGTTAACGCCACCCTACGGTTTTAACAGAATTCCTTCTGTTTCAGGGGTTTTCACCCGCTGGGGTGGGTCTGACGGGGTCGTTTTTATTTATTTGGGGTAAAAACCAACCAAATGGCGTGTGCTGCGTTCCTTAGGGAAAAAAAAAATAGTAAGTTTTATTGGGTGATAATGTGGCAAATTAAGAGATGTACAAATGAGCAGAATTTGGGGGGTTTTGGCTGCGGGGCCGCGGCTGGGCAGAGCTGCCCGGGGGAGGGGAAGGATAAATAGGGGAAAAAGGTTGGAAAATGGGGGGAAAAAAAATAAAAATCTGGATTTTACTGAAATTGTCTGTTCTGAGAGTTAAGCAGAAACGACGCCTTGGCGGCAGAGCCGGGGGGAAAAAGGAGAAATTCAGCGATTCTGGTAAATGAGACTGGTTTTGCGCGGGGGAGGGGGGATTTGACCTCCTTATGGTCGTAATTTTCAGTGAAAATCCCTTTTTTCTCACGGTTTGGAGGTCAGGCTTGGAAGGTTGGGGGTCACGGGGATTTTAGGGATTTTATTTCAGGGATTTTCAAGTCATTCACAGGCAAAAAAGTGGGAATGTGGAGCCTCCCGATCCCCCCGGCGCTGCAGGAGTTCATCCAGCTCCCGAGCGGGAAGTTTGGAATGTACATTCCTTTTGGAAAACTGTCTGGAAACGGGGAAAAAAAAATGCAGAAATCAACAATTCCAAGACTTTTCGCAAATCCAGTGGTTGGCGCGGGAGCACCTGTCGTCGTTCCAGATGCCGCCGGGGCCGATGCTGCCGCAGTCCTTCTGGTCCTTGTCTTTGTTCTCCTTCCACGTGTTCCAGTAGCTGGAGAAAGGAGGAGGAAAAGAAGGAGAAAAGGGACAAAAGTGAAATCATTCCGAAACAAAACCAAGCCCCACGGCAGCGGAGCGCTCTCAGGACGAGGTAAAACTTGTGGTTTGAGGGAAGAAAACTACCAAAAATCTCCATATTATGGGTTTTTTTTTAACCAGAGAACGCCCCGATAATACCGTTTTTCCAACCTAAACCCTTTGATTTACGGAAAACTACCAAAACCCAAAGTTTCGTCGGGTCAGCTTCACCTTTTTCCACTTATTTTCTGGGTTTGGGGGAATTCCAGGGGGGAATCTTTACCTGATGCTCGCACGTTCGCCGTTAGTCCAGACCCAGGTGCCTTCCTCCAGCTGATCCGTCACCCCCAGCCAGTAGGTCCTGTTGCTGCTGATGTTGTCCTTCAGGAACTTCTAGAAAAGCAGAATTGGTCAAAACAGCCCCAAAACCCACTCATTCCGGCGGACTGCGGGGCACCTCGAGGCTTTTGGCCACCGAGGCGAGGTCACGGCCGTAGCCGAGCCGCGGTGAGGCGTCGATAATTTGGGTACGGCGAAGCCGAGCGCGTACGGAGCGCTCGGGAAAGCAGATGTTGACCTTTTTTGTTCAATTTTTAGCACTTTTCCCTAAAAACGGGAAGTTATAGTCAACGGAGCTCGGCTTGGCCGTCGGCGCTTCTCTCCGCCGCCAAATCACGGAGCCCGACGGCCGATTGTTGGTTAATTTGAGGCCCCCCCCCCCACAAAAAAAAAGGGGTGGGGTTCCTGCATCTGCCAGAGGAGGAACTTTCCAAGAAAAGGGGTATTTTGGGCGCCGCGTGAGGCAAGGAACTGGTTGTTTTTCAGGCCGACCGACCTGCTCCTGCTCCGAGCTGACGATGACGAGGTGAGCGCCCTGGTCGGCGCAGATCTCCTTCGCGTCCGGCCAGCTCAAGGTCTCCGTCGAGAAGGAGTAGCAGCTCTTCTCAAAGATCTTCCACCCGGCCGAGCACTTCTTGCTGTCCAGGACGGATCTGCAGATCAGCGCTGGAATGACAAGAAATCCCCCAAATCCCGGCAAAAACCTGGTTGGTTTTCTGCTGGGGAAACCTCCGCGGCTTCCTCGGTGGGGCGACGTCTAGAAGTCGGGCGTAAATCACCCGAATTTTGCATCCCTGGGACCTCCGTGCTCTTTTTGGGGCTAAACCCGGAGGTTCCTCTCCCGGTGGGGGAGGCCCAGCGGGGAGACGGCGGTGGTTTTACCTGTGATGTCCTGCAGTTCCTCGTAGTACTTGTGCATCCCGCTCCGCATCCGCGTCTGCTCCCGTCGCGTCTCCAACAGCTCCTGCAGCACTGCCGAGAGCACGGCCCCCCCCCCCCGCTCTCATTTCCCCAAA